GAAGGTAGCCTGTCCTTTGTGTGTCCCTGAATGTGCACCACTGATCAGGGGACCAGGAAAGGGGTTCTGTGTACCATCCCTGGTAGTGGAAGGACAGTCATGCAGCCTGTTAGCCATGAGTGTTATTGCTGTGACTTCCTGCCCAGCAGTAGGCCAGTGTTAGAGGGAACACTGGATAAGAGCAGGAAACATGGAAAGAGAGGTACCAAGTAAGCATTTCTCCAGATGGGAACCACTTACACATCGCTGGGGTGCCCTTCTCTTTTGACAGAAGCACAACGATGACTTTGAGATGACGACATTCTGGTTATCCAACACCTGCCGCCTTCTTCATTGTTTGAAGCAGTACAGTGGGGATGAGGTGAGGCATCCTTGCTTTCTACAAATGTGGTAGGAGGTGCTTTGTATCTCTGAAGAGAGGACTATAAGATCTTTGGAGAACCCTTGGGGACCTCAGACTGTGGGCATGCCTTGTCATACCTGGCAGCTGGGAGCAGGAATGAGCCAGGTTATAGGAGACCTGCCTCCTAGTGGCACTGGTAAGCCCAAGGGCCTCCAGAAAGTACCCCTCAATTACGGAAGTAGCATTTGCATAACCCATCCATTGTAGGAGAGGCCCTGGGATTCTCTACAGAAACCCTTGTGCCTTTAGATTTCTGAAGCAGCCCCAGGAGAGGCTCATTGCAGCGAGTGCTAGAACAAAGTTCAGCTGCCTGGTGAGTCAGACTATCTCCTAGCTCAGTGGTTCTCAACCTTCCTAATGCCATGATGTATTTTCATTGTTAACAAAGAGGTTGTGACCCACAGGTTGAGAACTGCGGCCCTAGCTTATCTTCTTATTTTTTTTTAAACTCCAATTATTTTATTTATTTTATTTTTTATTCTTTTGGCCGGGGCTGGGTTTGAACCCGCCACCTCCAGCATATGGGGCCGGCGCCCTACCCTTTTGAGCCACCCGCACCGCCTCCCTAGCTTATCTTCTAAGCTAATTGATTAGTTTGTCCACTTAACAGAGATAGAAGTGGCCATGAGGAAGGAGGCACACCACAATAAGATCTGCGTCTGTGCACCCTGACCTTGAGGCCAAGCTTTGTGCATCTATCCAAACTGGACTCTTTTGCCTGTGGCCCAACTGGCCCTGTCATTTCAGAGCCCAGCTTTATCTAGAACTCACCATTCCTGACTTTGGTCTCAGAAGGAACATCTCCCATGCTCTGCAGTCTCCCCTGTGACCTAGTAACTTGTGGCACACTTTCACTCTGCTTTTTCCAGAACCACCTACTCCCAGATCCCTGCAGGCCTCCTCGACTATCTTTGGTTCCCTTCCGTCCATGGGTCTCTTTAGCTACCTCTTCCAGGGACAAGACGTAACATATGCCAAAACAGTACAAGTTTTAAAGCTTTACTCCATCTTTAGGGCCAGAATGAAGTCAGTCTTCCCTTCTTTGGAATGTGCCTTGGCTCCCTATCTCTCATAAGATCAGAACTTTGATTGCCTGCTTTTTGTATTATGAAAGGGATGGTTAAAGGTTGAAGAAACGGCATTCGCTTCAAACTTTCAGATGCCTTCTGTTACATAACCACAGTATCATATACAAGTATTTATTTGAAGTTTAGAACTACATTTGATATCATTGAGGTTCATGACTTTACCAAACATGATACATATTCCAAATGGAATTTTATTTAAGGCTGGGGCAGCACCAAGAACTCCATCGCATAAGGTCATTGTTACACATGCTTATGTTCTCAGGGACAAGACTTGAACCACAGCATAATCAGATCCATTTAGTCTAAAAGGAAGAATAAATGGATGGATCTGTTTTAGGGATCACCGTTATTCCCTCTTTTGCTTTTGTTTTTATTAACGATGCCTTTGTTATTTGAAGTAGCATGAGAGGCTTTGCTGGGGTTGGTCCCATTTCGAGAGCACTGATCTTTTTAGCTGCTGTGGTCTTCCTTGGCCTTAATAAAAAGGGCCCTGAACACATGAGGGCCCTTTTGCTTTGTTAGTAAAAAATCACAATTTTAGTGTTAGGTGCCACCCATTTTTCTTTTTCTCACATTGTTTCCTTAGCACAAGTCAGCAAATAGTGAGATGACCTCCCTAGAACTGGGCAAAACATGGAACACTTCACCAGTTTTCCTGTCACCCTTGCACAGGGGCCATGCTGATCTTCTTTCTATCCCAGTTTCATTGTACGTGCTGCCAGGGCAATTATAGCAATTCTATTATCTTACATGTTATTTCAATGTGTTAATACAGAAAGTTAAGAGGGCACAGTGCTGTAGCTATGGATGGAATCATTTCAGCTCAACTTAGTTCTGATACCCAGTGATGGAATCTGTATAAAATTCTTTATTATGCAAACATATAGATAATCCAGTCCATGGCCATAGGGACTACGTATGATATCTTAGAGTGACCTGGTAAATTTGAGAGGGCCCTGCATGAAGAGTCAGAAAGCATGGACCCCTCTTTCTCTGGACCTGGCACCCATCTGAATTTTGCTACCTTAGGGAAATCACTTCACCTCAGGGATTCTGACTAAATGGTTTAGGCCTTTTTAAATTACACAGTTCTGATTTATCATGTTGAGTTTTTGAATTACCTTCATGTTCAAGAGTCATCAGGAGTCCTCCAAGAACCGACAGAGTTTTATAAAACATATAGAAAGAGGCTGGGTAGGACCCCACAAGTGGGAGATAAACATGGAACACCCCAGAAGTTGTGCCGAGCCCCCAGGCCACAGAGCCTTAGTGACGCGTGCCTCTCCTCCGGCAGGGCTTCATGACTCAGAACACAGCAAAGCAGAATGAACACTGTCTTAAGAACTTTGACCTCACTGAATACCGCCAGGTGCTGAGTGACCTTTCCATTCAGATCTACCAGCAGCTCATTAAAATTGCTGAGGGTGTGTTGCAGCCTATGATAGGTAAGCTGGCAATGGGAGATCTCCATTACTCACCATGGGGCCTGAACTGAGATGTGGCAAGCACCAATTTCATATGCAGCTTAAATTACACACTTTATGGACACCCTGTATATTAGGCATGGCTCCAGAAAGCCAGGACCTTCCTGATGAAGGCACTGAGGAGGGGTGCACATTGTCCTTAAGAAGAGACATGAAATTTTCAACAGCATTCCATAAAAATACATGATACTAGGGTGGTGAGAGTATAGATGATTTTCCCTTTCTTTCTCTTTCTGTTGTTATATCGTATTTTTTCCCAAATGTTAGTGGGTAGTAAACTCTAAAGGTAGGCTCAGTGCCTGTAGCACAGTGGTTACAGCGGTGGCCACATGCACCAAGGCTGGTGGGTTCAAGCCTGGCCCGGACCAGCTAAACAACAGTGACAACTGCAAGAAAACATAGCTGGGCATTGTGACGGGCACCTATAGTCCCAGCTACTTGGGAGGCTGAGGCAAGAGAATCACTTAAGCCCAAGAGTTTGAGGTTGCTGTGAGCTGTGATGCCGTGGCACTCTACCAAGGGCAACATAGTGAGACTCTGTCTCAAAAAAATAAACTCAAAATGTAGAAAAGCAAATACAGTGGAAAAATACAATCTTCTTCCCATTATATACCTTTATTCATTGTGTTCATGTGAAAGAATACAGCAGCAAGCACTATGCAATAAATATTTCTTGAACACTGCACAAAGCAGTGCACTTGGGCACAGAATTGAAAAGAGCAGCTACATTTTAAGTTAGGAGAAAAATAATGTATATTATTCACTGTGATCCACGAGGCTGGGAGAAATTGTACCTAGACCTGTGTACATTGCTTTCCCCAGGTTCTTACTATACAAGGAAGTTGGGGGTGGATTGCCAAATATGACCAATCCACAGATAAATAACTTGAGGGATAGGTTCATTCCAAAACCTTCTTCTTGTCTGGCAACTTTTTTTTTTTGCAGTTCTTGGCCAGGGCTGGGTTTGAACCCACCACCTCCGGTATATGGGGCCAGTGCCCTACTCCTTTGAGCCACAGGTGCTGCCCAACCTGTCTGGCAATCTAATAAGGCACCAGATGGAGAACTGACTTACCAAGCTAGAGATACTTCATAACTCAAAATAATGGGACAGTTTATAGCACAAGTTCTGGACTTAGACAAACCCAGGTTCAATCCTAACCCTGCCACTTCTTAGCAGTGTGACCCGAGGCAGATTATTTATCTTCTTTATGCCTCAATTCCTAATCAGTAAAAGAGGTAGTATACCTCACAGGGTTTTTAGAAGATTAAAAGAGATAATGAACACCTGGCTAATATTTACTCGAACCTAGTATTTACACAGTGGCTGGGCCAGGACTACTAGACTCAAGTTGCTCAGTTCCAAACTTTGGACTCTCATTTCAGCACAGATAATACAGAATCAAACTGGGACATGCCCATTATCTTTGTCTCATCACCAATAAATTTAAGTGAAAACTTGGTCCATAGCTATTTTATCTCATATACAGACCAATATTAGAAATTCTTTGCCAGATGTTTTTTTGCCAGATGTTTTAAGTTCCTGAGCATCGTCCACCTCTGGATAGCATCGTTACTGAATCCCCAAGTACTTAAATGATCTGAATAGCCCCAAAACAGATCTTGTTGGGAAACATGCAAGCTTCACTATTCATGCTTTTATTTCAGTTTCTGCCATGTTGGAAAATGAGAGCATTCAGGGTCTGTCTGGTGTGAAGCCAACGGGCTACCGGAAGCGCTCCTCCAGCATGGCGGATGGGGATAACTCCTACTGCCTGGAAGCCGTCATCCGCCAGATGAATTCCTTTCATACGGTCATGTGTGACCAGGGCCTGGACCCTGAGATCATCCAGCAGGTATTCAAGCAGCTCTTCTACATGATCAACGCAATGACCCTTAACAACCTGCTTCTGCGGAAGGACGTCTGCTCTTGGAGCACAGGCATGCAGCTCAGGTAAGAAATAAGTGCCCTGCTGACACCAGCCAGTATCAGAACAAAGACAGTCGATTCTGAAAATGAAATCCACATCTGACAGTTCTTGCCAGTCAGTTGGTGACTCAAATCTATCACCTTTTAATTTGCTGGTGAAATCCATCAAACATGGAAATGGTGACTTGGTAAGCAAATTAATTCAAAGCTTAGAGACATTTAATACTTTAAGGTTATAAATACAATACAGATAGGTCAGAAAAATCACTGTTAAGAGGCCTGAAGGCTCGTGTGGGAGTATAAATATGTTTGTGAAATATTTAATATAAATTGTTTTAATTCAACATATTCAATGCCTGTTTTTTCCCACTAACTTACATAGACACTGCAGGTATTTCATCTTGATTTTAAGCACCCACTCATTCATTCATTCTTCAACAAACAATGCCAGGCACTTGTTAAGCTTTTAACCACAGGAGGTAATGAAGGTGAGGAGAATGATGACACTAGGGACAACTAGCCTGCAAAACAGGTGTCCTCACCAGAGAATTAGAAGGACCAGCTTAACACAGGTCCCTCTTTCCCTATGGCTAAGGTATAATATAAGTCAGCTTGAGGAGTGGCTCCGGGGAAGAAACCTGCACCAGAGTGGAGCAGTTCAGACCATGGAACCTCTGATCCAAGCAGCCCAACTCTTGCAATTAAAGAAGAAGACCCCTGAGGATGCAGAGGCCATCTGTTCCCTGTGTACCTCCCTCAGCACCCAGCAGGTATGGTCACACTACACCTCCATCAACCATGGGACCCTGAGCAGGCCCAGCTTCCATTTCAAGTCTGTTCTTGCCAGTAGTTAGAGTGTTGGAGTCCCAGCCTTTTTATAATGGTACAATTCTGAAGTTGGCAGCTATGAGATGTTCCCAGAGGAACCAAAGGAAACAAGATATCACAGATACTGGTTAACAGTAACTCTGATCCCTCTTGCTCACAGAGGTAAGGTAGTAAACCCACAAAATATCCAGCTTAGGTAAAAACTTTTAAAACACAATAAATTCTGAAATGTTTCTTACTTGAGAATTCTTAATTTTTTAGAAATTGGCAACATCAGGGATTTGCTTTCTTTATAATTACAAAAGTTTTCTTTACAACTGTAACATTGATATGGTGACATTTCTCCTCATACTCCATTTACATTGCTTCATAGTCATTGAGAACCCAGAGGCAGTTAAGTATTACTTTTCCCCCCAAAATTATACCATGACTCAATTGTAGATATATTACTTGCCCATAAAAAGGTAAATCCTGCCCACACGCAGGGAGTCCTTGTCCTCCATCATGTATATGCCTACTGGGAAATGGGCCCCACAGACCAGGATGAGAAAATCAGGCTTTGCAAATCAAGTGATGCATCTTCCTGACCACCTACAAAACCAAAGTTTAAACTCAGGGATAGCAAAGGAAAGGTACCTTTCCTAATCTCCTCCACTAACTACTAAAAGGTCAGTATCTAATTCTTCAGAAAACCACCTCCTATCAATGTACTGAGGTTTTTGAACTTCTTCCCCGCTCCCCCACTTTTTTTTTTTTTTGAGACAGTCTCACTCTATTGCCCTGGGTAGGGTGCCGTGGCCTCATAGCAATCTCAAACTCTTGGGTTTAAGTGATCCTTTTGCCTCAGCCTAGTGAGTAGCTGGAACTACAGCCCACCCACTAACACAACGCATAGCTAATTTTTCTGTTTTTAGTAGAGAAGGGGTCTCACTCTTGCTCAGGCTAGTCTCAAACTCTTGAGTTCAAGCAGTCCACCTGTCTCGGCCCCCCCAGAGCACTAGGATTACAGGCATGGGCCACTGTGCCCAGCCTAAACTGTCCATCCTCCCCTATTTTTTTAAATATACTTTACTGTCATAAGTTAACTTCTAGAATGCAGCTGGCATTGAATTTGGGCAGCCTGTGTTCCCCAAACAATTGGTAGACAGATAAAAAGATTATCTCCTGTTTAAATAAGAAGAAAGTTTCATGTGTAAATGATGTTTTGGGGGAGGGTTGGTCAGGGAAGACAGGTATTATTAAGCAAGACCTTTCTCACCTAAGGTAAGACACCCCCCCCCCCAATACTCTTTGAAGTAGCCTCTAAAGTAGCAGTAGGTCAGAAGCTAAGGATTTTAGGCACCAGTTTTCTGAACTCCTCAGAAAAAACCTATGGCTCTCTGATTTCAAGATTGTTCGTTTTTAAGCACCAAAGGAGGCAAGAGGAGCTTCATCTTTCTCTGCTTCACCCCTTTTACTAAAATGATGTGTTCCATATAATTTGAATTCAGTCAAAAGGCCAAACTTAAGGACCTAGAAGGCCTCATATGCTCCTAAAGCTATATCATTAAGCATTTGGGGAAGGGTGGGTGGGTATGTCACAGACATGAACTGGGCTTAGATCCCCCAGGCAAAGTTAAGGGCTGTAGTTTGCTCGTGGTCTAATGCAAACGTCAATTCCTGCTCCATCCATGACATGGGTCTTGTCTAAACAGGATTTTGACTGTTATGTATTATTTAAAGTTCAAAAGTTGACTTATATTCATTTAGCTCTTTGCTAAATTTTATTTTTATTCTAACAGATTGTCAAAATTTTAAACCTTTATACTCCCTTGAATGAATTTGAAGAACGCGTAACAGTGTCATTTATACGAACAATCCAGGTGAGTTTTAAAATATTCATTTTATAAAGTCCTTGTCTAAAACTATCATGGAGATTGAAAATGTAGGTTTTAACCTTGCTTCTATTTATTATTAACATTTACTGGTTACATTACATGGCAGAAGACCTTACATTTCTAGACTTTCAATTTAGGTAATTGTGAATTGTATCACTCCATAAATAACTTATTATATACACAGAAAACCCAAGTTTTATAATTTTAGCCTCTCAGATTATAAACATAGTCTAAGTATCCCTTCATCTGCCGCTGGCATGTTATTGAACCATAGCACCAAATGGAACTAACAAAGTAAGCAAAGTGTCAACCCTACCCACAAATGGAACTAAAAATGGTTTCTAAGAAGGATAATTTGAGCTCTTAAAGCTTATAGTATTCACCCTTCAGAATATCCTTGGGAAAAAAACCTATTAGGGGAATGATTATTTGAATCTACCTTTTCTTAAAATGATGAGATTTTTCTACTTCAAGCTTTCTCAAGCTGAGCCGAAGGTGATTTTGGCTGAATGTGTAACCCCTTTTCGTGTGACTGTAACCAATGGTATTTAGAAATGATCACACTGCAATTACTCAAAACAGGGCACATTTCTCCCAGATTACACGTGAACACCACCTTAGGGAGAAAGAGCCCTTTCTCAAACTTTTAAACAACTCTTTAGCCAGTGAACTGATACCACTGTGAAACAAGGACTAAAAAGGCAGGAGGGGGAGGGACCAGAGAAAAGGGAGCCAAATGGAAGTTTGTGGAAGACACAGGCCCTTTGGGTAAGAAGCTGCTCCCTTAGGAATACTCATGGGATTTTATTCAGAGGTCCTTATAGTGCTTCACTGTAGAGACCCAAAGATTTAAAGTGTCTGATAGAAACAAATAACTGGCAAAAAAGATTTTAATATAATTGCTAGACACTTAAATTTATTATTGAGTGAGAAAGACTAAGAATCTGACTGCATATATTTTCAGAGAATATCTGTCCCTTAATCTGCATTACATTTGCTTTTGTCCTTAATTCACTAAACCTGCAGTCTAGCATTTGGCATGTACTTTTTGATCTGAATCTTCTTCTCATTCCCAAATAAATGTATCTATTATTTCAACTACCTTTCAAACTGTTTGTTACTTTAAAATTTTGACGCATCTTACAAGATGCCAAACACATGGGTATGTTGTTATTGACACCTAGAACCTTAAACAGTGCTTTCCATTCATTATCTAGGTAAGTGACACTGTAGACAGTTTTATTAGAATGTGTCTCACTATGAATTACTTTGACTTTATCCTGCTTGGAGTTTGTTGAGCTGTTTCTTGGATGTGTATATACATGTCTTTCATCAGGTTTGGGGATTTTCAGGCATTATTTCTTTGAACATTTTGCTGCGGTACTCCTGTGATGCATATGTTAGTACTTGATGATGGCCCATAGGTTCCCTCAGTCTCTGTTCATTTTTACTCATTCTTTTTATTTTTTTCTCCTCAGACTATATCATTTCTATAACTTTTCTTCTTGAACTTGAGTGAACTTTTCATTTTAGTTGTTGTACTTTTCTAAAAATGTCTGTCTTCAAATACATTGAAGGGGCAAGATTTTCTTTAAATCTTCCAATTGATGCCACCAGGGGAAGCCACTGCATCCCAAGATGTGCCTAAACCAAGGCAGGCATCTGTCCTGGGACCCACCAGATCAATCACAGTGCACAACCCCAAATTTTTGGAGAACAAGGTCCCACTGCCTACCTTGGCACTAGCCAACTGTTCTAGGAATATGGGCTGCTATCCCAATAGCTGCAGGGGTGCTGAAGAATGTGGGATGGTACCTGGTTTATTCATGCTGCTCTCTTAGCAAAGATCACCAGCCTATCTCTTTAAGTGTCCAATCAGGCCTGATAGTTATGACATCACCCTTTCCAGCTCAGTGGTTGCTTCAGTGGAAAGAGCAACCCCAAGAGCAGGCATCCTCAAACTATGGCCCATGGGCTACATGCAGCCCACCTAGGACATTTATCTGGCCCGTTGGGTGTTTTTGCCACTGCTGCCTGTCCTGCTTAGCAGCCAACTCATCCCGGAGCCCCTGTTAAAAAAGTTTGAAGACCCCTGCCCTAGAGCTTCCTACTTGGGCATTTTATGTGATGTTACTCTTCCTATTCCATTCTATAGATGAGGAAACTTAAGTTACAGAAAGATTCAGGAATATAGTACAAGCTGTCAACCTCTAGAACCCACGCTCAGTGCCTTGCCACAATGATTTGTACCTGAGAGGTATTTTTATATAGTAGAATCTCTGTAAGTTGACCACCCCATGAATCTCTTTAACATTGACTATAGTTGACTGTAACACCAGTCAACATAAGGAACAAGGCCTGCTGTATAGATACATACATGTGGTGCATGTCCTATCTGTGAAAATTTGGTCAGCTTAAGGAGTTGGTCAACTATAGAAGGTCTACTGTCGTCTCCTTCAGGTGGAAAATTTTTGTGAAGAGTGTTAGAATTGGAAGAGTGCTCATAGTCATCTAGTCTCTGATAAGCTCAAACAAGAGCTTCTTTACCCACTAAATACCTCAGGGATAGGGAAGACCACATTCTCCTGGTCCTACATTCTTGACTAACTATCTTAGACATCTTTCTATGACATGTCAATTTTAGGTGTACTTGACTTGGTCTAATTCTTTCCCATAGGCACAACTGCAAGAGCGGAGTGACCCTCAGCAACTGCTGTTAGACTCCAAGCACATGTTTCCTGTTTTGTTTCCATTTAATCCATCTTCTCTGACCATGGACTCAATCCACATCCCAGCCTGTCTGAATCTGGAGTTCCTCAACGAGGTCTGAAGATACAAATGTCTGACGTTAGCTCCATACAACCAATGACAGCAAGAAGGAAACATAAGCAGTAAAGTGAATTAAAGCACCAGTTAAATCTGATAAAGGTGGATCAAATCAGATCAAGAGCCTATGGAGAGTACTGAACTATACAGAAGACACATCTCTCAATATTTTTTGTACCTACTGCTCAGAATAAAAACTTGAAATATGGAAGTTTAATTTCAGTCTAACAAATACACATTACAATCTGCAGCTACCAGCAGTCTCCATGGCCATACAAAACGTGCCAAGTCTCTAAAATGAAAGTGTATAGAACTGGAGAAAGTCCAAATTAAAATGCTAAAAATACATAAGTCACATAAATTGCCTTCAAAGGACTTTTAACAAATAATGGTACTAATAACCATGATAATGGCGTATACCTAGTATACTGACATTTCCCCAGATTAACAAACTTGTGGAGACATTTGTGGTAAGAACAAAAATAGGGGCTGGGCCTTCTCAGAAATTTCCCAAAAGTTTTTTTTTGAGACAGAGCCTCAGGCTGAGCCCCTGGGTAGAGTGCCATGGCTTCACTGCTCACAGCAACCTCCAACTCCTGGGCTCAAGCGAGTCTCCTGCCTCAGCCTCCCAATTAGCTGGGACCACAGGC